CATATTGACGAAAATCCCACTTTTCATGCAGTGCTTAGGTGTGTCTCTGTTATTCGCAGATTTTGTGGTTCTGTTGGCTTCATCAGGGTGTGATTTACAGCTCTCACTGGAGCGGTTCGCAGCCGAGTGTGAAGTGCCGGGGATGAGGATTAGTGCTTCTAAATCTGAGACCATGGTCTTGAGCCGGAAAGGGGTAGAATGCCTTCTCCAGGTTGGGGAGGATGTACTGCCCCTAGTGGAGGAGTTTAAGTATCTTGGGGTCTTGTTCACGAATGAGGGGAAGATGGAGCACGAGATCAATAAGTGGATTGATGCGGTGTCTGCTGTGAAGCGGGCCCTTTACCGGTCTGTTTTGGTGAAGAGAGAGCTGAGCCAAAAAGCAAAGCTCTCAATTTACCCGTCGACCTATGTTCCTACCCTCATCTATGGTCATGAGCTTTGGGTCATGCCCGAAAGAAAGAAATCTCAGACACAAGCGATTGAAATGAGTTTTCTCTGTGGTGTGTCTGGGCTGTCCCTTAGAGATAGGGTGAGGAGCTCAGTCATCTGGGAGGACTCTGAGTAGAGTCGCTGCTCCTCCACATCGAGAGGAGCCAGTTGAGGTGGCCCGGGCATCTGATTAGGATGCCTCCTGGACGTCTCCCTGGTAAGGTGTTCCAGGCACATCCAACTGGGAGGAGGCCCAGTGGGAGACCCAGGACACGCTGGAGGGACTATGTTTCTTGGCTGGCCTGGGAGTGCCTTGGGATTCCCCCGGAGGAGCTGGCCAAAGTAGCTGGGGAGAGGGACGTCTGGGCCTCCCTACTGAAGCTGCCCCCCCCCAACCCGACCCAGGCGGAAGAGCGGAAGATGGATGGATGGATGGATGGATGGATGGATGGATGGATGGTCATGTTACGGAATTGTGCTAAGTAAATACACTTGCTGTGTCTTACAAAGAGCGAAGAATTTGAAGTATAATACAAATGAATACAAAAAGTATGGATTTTAAACATACTTCCGGTAGAAAAAAAAAGAGGTTTAAATGTTCATACTATAATCGTTATGGTTAACAGTGAAACTGGTGATTTTATTCCAACGATGACATTCATAATGTACTTTTGGTGCTTTAGCTAATATCGTTCAAAATTTTATAGATTGCTATTGGTTTATTGCATTGTTAATTTTACAAACTTAGCTTTCTGCTCTGGGTTACACAGTTCAAATGTTACATGCAAGTAATTGCTTCAGGAAAAGGGAAAATGTTATGTCCTGTAATAGCATGAAAAGTACAGAAGGAGAATACGAGAGTAAAGAGATAACTGAAGCTGAGCTACATCTGATGCTACTTATTTTCAACCCCTTCAATATAGCAAAAACACAACAGTTACACATTTATTTTGATTCCTAATCTTTTTCCTTTGAATATTATGTGTTTTAATTGGTTCAGATATATTTTGATACAGATTAGCTCTCAACTGCAATTATTTTCCCCACCTTTGTTTGATCTTAGTTTCTGTTGTCATCATAATGTCTCTCCTCTTTTTTTAATTTCTTCTCACCTCCTTAAGAATTCTTCATATCCTCAAGAAGTTAAAACCAAATTAAAATCCCATATATAATTTGTCTTCTTTCTTGTATTTATGTGATTTTCTCATCCATTCTACAGAGGCCTTGCAGTGCCACTTCACCTGGGATCTAGAACCTACCAAATCCCAACTAAAATATCTCAGGTATGCACTGGAGGACATCGGCACAGATGAGGGAAACGTCTGGCTGGGTCAAATCTCCAACCTAAAGGGATTCATCCACTTTAAGCTGGGCTCCTCTGACAAAGCCCTGAGCATCTTCAGACGAGCCAGTGAGACCTTCCAACGTCTTAAAAACTCTGATGACGATCCCTGGTTCATGGTGAACTTTGGGAATCTGGCTTGGCTGAACCATCTTATGGGTGAAGATAAGAAGAGTCATGATTACCTGTCAAAGGTTGAAGCTCTAATGAGAGAATACTCAGCTCCACCTGAGGAAGAGCTCCACCCAGAGGTCTATGCTGAGACGGCCTGGACCCTGATGAAGTTCGACAAAGAGAAGAAGCTGCAGGCTGCAGAGCTCTTCCAGAGAGCCGTGATGATGCAGCCAGGAATTGCAGACCAGCTGGGCCAAATTATTTGCAGAGACAACATCGAATGTCTCCGGACCTTTACTGGTTAATTATTGTCTTTATTCAGACCCCGCTGGTTTTCAATTGGTTACCCCTGGTTTAATGTTTATAAATATTTATTTCACGTCATGTGCGCCATCCAATGCAGATCATTGGCTCCATCCACATCTAGTGAAAACTAGTGTAATTGGATGAGTCATATAACGCAAACACTCATTGGTTAGCTCAGTGGTTCCCAAAGTGTGGGGCNTCAGTTTATCGGGGTCACTTACCTGTGTTTCCTCCCCTAGAGTGTCTGAGATTGGGTGGTGCCCCGCCCCCCCGCCTGCAGTGTCCGTGAGCCACAGCTCCGCTTTTGTTTTGTTTTATTTTAATAAACCTTTTGAACTTTCCTACTGACTGGCTCTCCTGAATACTGGGTCCATCTGTCCGCGATTCATGACAGTTTGTGTTTTCTGTGTTTGTCTCCCTTCCTCCACCAGGAGGCGCCTGGTTCTGGTCCACCTCCTCACACACCTGCTGATGGTTACTTCGTTAACGGAGTGTTCTTAAGCTGCTGACTGCCACTACCTCGAGGCCAGAGTGTTTGCCAGTTTGGGGTATACTAGCCAAGCTGAGTTTTGCTGAGTCAAAATGAGTTCTTGTCAACCTGAGTTTTAACATTGTTTGTCTTTTGCCTCTCGGCAGGAAGTCATCATGCTAACTCGAGTTTTCGGATCTTCTCTCCCTGGAAGGATCCACTGAGCTACAAACTGAGCTGGGGTTCAAACAGGAGTTTTGGATCCACTTTCCCCAAGAGATCGTTTGAGCTTCGCACTGAGAAAGGGATCAATCTCCACTACGACCCGTTCAAGTACCGCAGGAAATCTGAGTGGCAGTCAGTATCTCTGTTCACCTATTAACAACAGCATTCTGAGTAAACCCTGTTCCGCCCTCCACCGAATCAGACAAACACTGGAACTACAGCATACAGACTGGAGTCAAGGATTCATCAAATTCTCTGGAAATGTGAGTCAGCAACCAAATCCTCTTCTCCAAGTTCACGAGTCAAATTTCCCACTGAGCCTGAACTAACCGCTGTGTCTTCCCCTCACATTTCAGTTCCGGTTGAGCGGTGTTTAGAGCAACACTTCTCCCTGTATTATCTCTTCAATAAACCTGTTAAACCTTTTCTCTGATCTACGTTTGGTCTTCTGCATTTTGGTCTGAACCTTAGTATAATCATGACAGGTTCAGTCACACCTGCTCTGTTTAAGGTGAATAAAGGAGATATTAGTGCTGAAAATATCATTAAACTCTTTCACCTCATCAGTTTAATGATAAACAAATAACAATCAGAGCGGCTTTGAAAGCAAATACTCTGATATATCATGTGATGGCAGGAACACCTCATTGGTCAATAGTTTTGTTTCGGTACCGAGTTTCGTTTCCAAGGAAAGCAAAAGTCGCCCTTAGTACCTTAAGGCTCTTGATGTTGTGTTGGTTGACGTGACTCTGCAACATTGTGTGGATATCAGGGGCAGTTCCCCTGGATTGGCAGACTGGGGTTGTGGTCTCTGTATTTAAAAAAGGGGACTGGAGGATGTGTTACAATACAAAGGAATCCCACTTGTTGTGCCATATGCCATGATCGTGCTTTTTGGACATTGGGAACCAGTGTCCATGTTTCATCTTGACATAATGACCAGAGAAGAGAATAAAAGTTTGGTGAACAATCAGCTATAAGATTTCTTCAACCTCCCCTTTTTAGCCAACTCCTCCACAGGACCTCCCTCAGCGGCGTGACTTGTCAACCCCCTCTCTGTGAGGACAAGAAAACCACAGAACACACTAAGAACATTCTCTCTTTTCACTGCTCTCTTTTCCTATGGGGCTGGCTGGGGTGCAGGTCCACTGGATCACCAACAAAGATGAAGAACCGGGTCCAAAAGACCCAGATCATCAAGGATAATTCAGACCCTTTCAGAACCAAACTGCTGCAAAACAGACCTTTTGCAACACATTTCTCTTGAGTTTCAGAACGTATAGAGCCAGATTGGATAAGAAAGCCTGTCTTGATGTCAGCCACTGAGACAAAGAGGACCCCTGCTGTGAGCCACTTAGACAGAAAGAGACTACCTTGCTGTTTAGCCTGCCTGCTAAGCTCCAGCTGGATGGAAACTCTACCTTCCAAATGGAAATGGACAAAAAGGTTTGCAGGCAAAATTAGGGACAGAACAAACAATATGTCTTTTGATGATGTTGATCATTTCATGTTTTTACTGATGAGTAAGGACAAAGCTAATAGGTTGGACTGCATGTTATGTTATGCTGTACAGAAACATGTGTTGAGCTTTTGCTGAAGCTTGGGCAAGCTTTATTTCACTAAAGGTTTAACCGCTGATATAACATTAGTGTTCATGTGTTCTTCATATGCTCATTACATTTTAATTACAAGGTATGACCAAGAGCCATTTAGTGGAATTTAGTGAATATTTGCTGTAAGCGATTTCAAAGAGGGTAAAGAATCACTAACTAAAGGTTATTAGTTCTTGATTAATCAAATCATTTAATAAACATTATTTGGCCAAATTATGTTTTATTCACCTCATGGATTTGCATTGTGAATTGGTCTGAAAACATTGTGATTTCTCTAAATTAGTGAAAAGCTAATTTGATCACATTCCATGTGTGTCCTGTAATATAGTTTTCAACCATGTTTACCCTTTCTTTATGTATATAGTAGTTTAATTTAGTTGAGTTTCACTAGTTTTAGTTAAGAGTTTTAAACTGAAATAGAGCTGAATGATTTTTGTTAATAAACACTTATATTTTGAACAAATGTTGTGGTGAATTGTTTCCATGTGTGTGCAGAATTAACTGTTTTACCATGATTAGAGCTTGCATCACTCTTTCATTTATTGTTTTAACACACAGATAGTAGGGCATGTGTTCATAAACAATATATAACAGCTGAAATAGGATCTGATTAAATAAGATATTTATCACCCACCGGGGAGGGCAACAAATATCTTAGAGTATCAGAAATATAAATTCCTAGCTGGCTGGGAATTGCATAGATTATAAATTAATTATTGTGGCATCCTACCTGGATGGGCATTGAACATAAAATCACAACACACTTTTAAGCCTCCATGGTAAGGTCTATTCCGGGTTCTGGAAAGGAGGGTCCGTCAGATAGTCGAATCTCGGTTTCAGGAGGAGCAGTGTGGTTTTCATCATGGCTGTGGAACACTGGATCAGCTCTTTACCCTTAGCAGAATCCTGGAGGGTGCATGGGAATTTGCCAAACCAGTATACTTGTGTTTTGTGGATCTGGAGAAGGCATTGGACCGTGTCCCTCGGGGGGTCCTGTGGGGGAGAACTATGGAGTGTCAGTGCCAGAGACTGGTCAGCATTGCCGGCAGTAAGTCGGACTCATTTCTCGTGAGGGTTGAACTCTGCCAACGTTGCCCTTTGTTTCTGATTCTGTTCATAATTTTTATGGACAGAATTTCTAGGCACAGCCAAGGTGTTGAGGGGCTCTGTATTGGTGGCCTTCCCTGCATGAAAAGTGAGATTTTCGTCCCCGTAAACTCCCGCAGATCTCCCTGATTTTCGTCAGTTTACGACAATTTGCAACCCGCGCCTGTCCGCGTTTGTCGTGCCACAAATTGTCGGAAACGGACTCTGACGTATGTGGAGAGCGATCAGCTGTACTAATGGCCCTAATTAGCATATAAATGCAGCAAACCCGCGCGGCTGGCCAGGTCTGGCTTGAATAACCT